TGTTTTAAGTCTTCAAGATTAGCGCGGTAGCCAGCGGTCTCGCTAAGCGGTTTTACGACACTGGTTATCAACCTCATAAGTGGATCCAGCTTTGCTATGAGCGCGTGCACACATATAAGGCGGAGCCCGCCGCATCTGACCAATCGCGAACACGGACAAGTCTGGAGCGTCAGAGCAGGCTGGAGAGCGAAGGACCGCAGACTTTACAAACGAGGAGCAGGAGACGATCATACGAAAGTATGAAGAATTAAAATCTGTCATAAACCTCAAAAGCAACACCGTCACCGCTGCAAAAACACGGAAGGCAGAAAATTAATCTTTGATGCCATTGTCACCCTGAAATAGCACTGTTCAACATGCGCTTTTAACTAAGATGACCAGACGTCCCCGATTTCCAGGGACAGTCTCCGAATTGGATGATCTGTCCCCGGCTAAGGCTGTCCCCGAAAATGTCCCCGATTTAAGCGTTTCATGAATGAGAACAAAAATGTTGCATGTAGGCTAGGACAACTGTTATTACAGTGGGTAGGAAGCACAAGTAAGCAGTCCTGATCAACAGTATTTACCGGGTTATTATAAGGGGCGTGAGCTGCTACTAAATAGTACAGAGATGTTGATCGCGCAGCCCATGCCCATTCATTTCCAAGATGAATTCATTCATTTGTTAATTCCTATCGTGTTTACATGTTTTGTGTGATATGTTGGCCATATGAGCCGGAGTGCTCCTCGGACAATACGAGCACCGAGGTCTACAGGATCCTCCAAGAACGGACAAGCCGTTTTTCGAGAGAGCTCATTGGTCGGTGGGCGGGGTTTTTATGCTCGGTGAGTTCAATCTGGAACTTAACCTGCCCTGGAGCAGGTTAGCCGTTCAGCGTATGTTGCTATGGAGACTCGCCTCGCTAAGAAGTGAACTTGCGTCGTAGAACAGGAAACCCTGAACTTACCCTCGAAGTTATCTCGCTAAGCAGTAATCCTGCTTCGTAGAACAGGCCCCAGGTTAGGTTCACGGAGTCTGTTACTATGGTAACTGACCGCGAGGTTGAGTTACCTCTCTTTGTGAAACAGGTTAGAGTTACCCCTCTCTCTCTGGTTTAACTGACCCTCCTTTGTGAAACGGAAAACTCTGAGTTTTCCTGATTTCAGGGTTAACAGACTCTGAGTTTCCATTAAACCTGCTACGTGAAACAGACCCCTGGATAAAAAGAGATCCACCTTCGTAGTACGGAAAACCCAGAAGTTATCTCACTAAGACCAAATCCAGCTTTGTAGTACAGGGGCCTGTTCTACGAAGCCGGTTCAACCTAGCTCAACTTAGCGCGGTAGCCAGCAGTCTCGCTGAGCGGTTTCACGACGCTGGTTATTAACCTCATAAGTGGATCCAGCTCTGCTATGAGCGCGTGCACACATTTAAGGCGGAGCCCGCCGCATCTTACCAATCGCGAACATGGATCAGTCTGGAGCGTCAGAGCAGGCTGGAGAGTGAAGGACCGCAGACGATCATGAGAAAGTATGAAGAATTCAAAGCTATCACAAACGTCAAAAGCAAAACCGTCGCCGCCGCAAAAGCACTGAGGGAATGCTGGCAGAAAAGTAATCTTTGATGCCATTATCACCCTGAAATAGCACTGTTCAACGTGCGCTTTTAACTAAGGTGACAGTCCCCGAATTGGATGATCTGTCCCCGGCTAAAGCTGTCCCCGAAAATGTCCCTGATTTAAGCGTTTCATGAATGAGAACAAAAATGTTGCATGTGGGCTAGAACAACGGTTGTTACAGTGGGTAGGAAGCACAAGTAAGCAGTCCTGAACAACAGTTTTTACGGGGGTTATTATAAGGGGCGTGCGCTGCTACTAAATAGTACCGAGATGTTGTCTGTGATCGCGCAGCCCATGCACATTCATTTCCAAGATTAATCATTCATTTGTTCATTCCTATCGTGTTTCCATGTTTTGTGTAATATGTCAGCCATATGAGCCTTTCATAAAGGTGGTCATCCGGAGAAAACTCTCCCTGTAAACTCTCGCGAGCTGGAGTGCTCCTCCTCGGACAATGCGAGCACCGAGGTCTACAGGATCCTCCGAGAACGGACAAGCCGTTTTTCGAGAGAGCTCATTAGTCAGTGGGCGGGGTTCTTATACTCTTTGAGTTCAATCTGAAACTTAACCTGCCCCGGAGCAGGTTAGCCGTTCAGCGTATATTGCTATGGAGACTCGCCTCGCTAAGGAGTGAACCCGCGTCGTAGAACAGGAAACCCTGAACTTATCCTCGAAGTTACCTCGCTTAGCAGTAATCCTGCTTCGTAGAACAGGCCCCTGGCCTCTGGTCTACATATTGTTACAGATTGAAAACTTTGTGAATTTTGATTAGTCTTTTAAGATAAATACCTTTAGTTACATTAAGGGCAGTCTGGTAGGTAGGGCTCGGCAGCTATTTTATTTTTACAAAAGTCTTCTCTTGTTTTGGGTTAGGGAGGCAGGTAAGACCCCCTGTATTTTATTTCATACTATTTTGTTGGTTAGGAAAGTTAGCTTTAATAAAAAGAGGTTTTGTTTGTTATTTTGGCCTGTGTCCACCATGAAGTTAAATACCATTTATGTTGAAAAATAAACCCATGCAAGACTGCATTTTCTGGTGGCTGTTGGTTTTCTTGGGGAGTTGGAACAAAGGGAAGAGAACTTTATGTTACATCCAGCATACCCCTAAGCTGGGTCGTAACAGTATCTCCACATTAAAATCCATCTTCACCCAGTCAGACATGGAAAAAGTCATTCACGCCCTCATCCTTTCCTGCTTAGATTACTGTAACTCACTCCTTTCCGGTATAACACAGAAATCTCTGTCCCACATCCAATTTGTCCAAAATGCAGCAGCTAGGCTTCTGACTGGTTTTAACTGACAACATCACATTACCCCTATTTTAGTATCTTTACATTGGTTTCCAGTTTGTTTTAGAATTGATTTTAAGATTTTACTCATTACTTTTGAAGCACTAAAGGGTCTGGCTCCAATCTATATAACAGAACTTTTAACCCCCTATTAGCCAGTCCGCATGCTGAGATCCTGGGGTGGAGGCCTCCTGGTCATTGCAAAGTCGAGACTTGTAACGAAAGGTGACAGGGCCTTTTCCCTCAGGGCCCCTGGACTTTGGGATGACCTCCCCGAGGAGACCAGGGGCCTCATGTATCAACGCTGGCGGCGCCAGAAAACCTTGCGTTCGCGAAGATCGGCGCACACGTCCAGATTTATCATCGCGACACGAGTGTCCGTTCCAGCGCAAATCCACGCAAAGTGAGGAGGTGGTATAGAAGTTAACGTGAGCCGATACTTGTGTTGACGGCACTTTGGCGACGCTGTGTGGCGGTGTTTGGTGACTCACTATGTGACAAGCGTGCACCACATCCCCGTGGCCGAGCAGCTCATCGCCCCACATGACAAACCAGCAGCAGACTGAGGGATGCGAGCTGATCCCTGCTGGGCCGCCGTCCTCACGCGGGAGAATCTCATTGCCACAGTGTGAATGGGTAAGAAGTGAATACACAGTTCAATGAGCCAAATTAATTTATTTTCGCCACCAGATGCTCGAGGAAATTTACGAGCCGGTCCAGCCGCTCGTTGATCCCCGAGATCCCCCTGATGATTTCTTCCAGCGATTGCAGGACCGCCTCCGCGAGGACCCTTCCACTGCGTCCGGGTGGTCCAGCGGAAGCGCCGCAGCTGGTGGACGCTCCACCGCTTGTCGGCACGCTGGTGCTGGGGCCGGGGTGGCCCGAATGCCGCTGGTCCTGGCCGACGAGTCCGAGCCGGCGGACGGGCTGCCGCGGGCCGGGGTTCCGCAAGCCGGAGACACGGCCGACACATTGATTTCTGTGACACAATAAAAATATTGGTTCATTTCAATTCCTGCTTCTGTGTATCTGTTGCGTTTACATCTATGCCAAAGCATGTTGACAGTTGTGTGACACACCACTTACCCTCCAGCAGGCTGTCTGAGTCGCCGCGGGTAGCGGCGACAATCCCCCCACAGAGGCGCCCCCCATAAACACCACCACCCGCTGCTTAAACGGCGTGAGGGTCTCCTCCCCCAGACCCCCACCTGTCTGGCCAGTACTCCTCCGGAGGGCAGCTGTACGCCGCTTGACCTCCACCTTAAGTCCGACCACTTTTTTTTAATCTCCGCGGGGGTGCATGTCTCGGAACCCACCGCGTTCACCCTCTCGCAAACTTTCTCCCACTCCAAGCGTTTTCGTTTTGCACTGACGCCATTGGACAGGCTGCCAAACAAAACACGCCGTCGCTCCTCCACCTCCGCCACCAGCACCACCACCTCGCACGCCGGTAAATTTAGTTTTTCTTGTCATTTTGTCTGCGTGCGAGGACAGGGAGACCCTATTTAGATAAATCTGCATATTTATAGGTGGGCGTAACGGGGGCGGGCCCGGTCACTCCGATATCTGCGCTCAATTCCAAGCTGATTGGGATTTATCAAGGAAACACACGTGGCTTTCGGCGCCCGCACACCTTGATACATACGAATTTTTTTCAGCGTGACGGACCTTGCGTGCGCTCATTTCCGGTATGAGTCCCACGCAAGTGTTGATACATGAGTCCCCGGGTGTGCAGAAACAGTCACTGCTTTTAAATCACTTCTTAAAACTCATTTTTAAAGACTTCCTTTTATGTGATTTTGTCTTCTTTAAAACCTTTTACTCTTCTTATACATGTTTTATAATAGTCCCCTTGGTCTCAGGTTTTTGTGATTGGGTTCCTGTGTTGGCTGGGTATCACGGGTTCCTATAATGTCTTTGTTTTAATCCTCTTTTTAAATGATGTCTCAGCTCATGTGACATTCATTGTCATGTATGTCAAGTTCAGCAGGTTCACTTGAACAACAGTCTTTGACACCAAATCAAATGAAGCAGCAGAGTATAGCAGGTGGGTATGGCAAGATTCGACCCCGGGTCTTCTGGGTGCCAGGCGAGCAGATTAGCGGAGGACCACAGGGCATGCAAGAAATCTGGGACTCATGAGCAGCGAATTGTCCACAGTCTCAATTTGCTCAAACGAGTGTGGTGAAAGGGAAAATGCTCAAACTCACAGCTGGAGGAAGATTTCTGGGAGAGTGGTTCAGGTGAGGACTGGATGAGGATCCAGAGCTTGCAATGAAACTGGCAGAACCGACGTCTGCAGAGGAGGTGAGTTGAACAGAAGGGGAATATTGACAGAGCAGGAATAGGCTGAGTGCCACCCAGCCGCAGACAGATGAATAGCAGGAAACACGCAGGCAGAGCTCGTAGTCAGGGACAGAAGGCAGGTGGGTTTACCGAGGCTGAGGTGTGAAGCAAAGGTCAGGGGCAGATCAGGTCGATACAAGGTAAGTAGTCCGGGCATGAACGCTGGAGAGTCAGGCATGAGAGCGAAGACAATCTGGCAAAGAGTGAGGGGAAAGAAGCTGCATATATACTGGCCTGATTGGAGATGATGAGCAGGTGGGAGCAGCAGGTGGGAGCAGCAGGTGGAAGCAGTTAGCTGATGAGGGGTGTGGCTGAGCAGCAGAGCAGGGGCCTCATGTATCAACACTTGCGTGGGACTCATACCAGAAACGAGCGCACGCAAGGTCCGTCACGCTTAAAAAAATCTGTATGTATCAAGGTGTGCGAGCGCCGAAATCCACGTGTGTTTCCTTGATAAATCCCAATCAGCGTGGAATTGAGCGCAGATGTCGGAGTGACCGGGTCCGCCCCCGTTACGCCCTCCTATAAATATGCAGATTTATTTAAATAGGGTCTCCCTGTCCCCGCACGCAGACAAAATGACAAGAAAAACGAAATTTACTGGCGTGCAAGGTGGAGGTGCTGGTGGCGGAGGTGGAGGAGCGACAGCATGTTTTGTTTGGCAGCCTGTCCAGTGGCGTCAGTGCAAAACGAAAACGCTTGGAGTGGGAGAAAGTTTGCGAGAGGGTGAACGCGGTGGGTTCCGAGACATGCACCCCCGCGGAGATTAAAAAAAAGTGGTCGGACTTAAGGTGGAGGTCAAGCGGCGTACAGCTGCCCTCTGGAGGAGTACTGGCCAGACAGGTGAGAGTCCGGGGGAGGAGACCCTCACGCCGTTTGAGCAGCGGGTGGTGGTGCCATCCCACTGAGCAAAAGACGTATATTAGACGTCTAGTCTAAGTTAATACTTCAGTCTATTTTTAGACGTGGTTTATACTTCGCCCTTTACTTCATTTTTCGATAACTTTTTATGCAATTAACAACTGTAATGTGCATAACTGACCTCTAAATACTGGATTACATTACCTATGATACCGTGGAGAGAGATGTAAACGCAACAGATACACAGAAGCAGGAATTGAAATGAACCAATATTTTTATTGTGTCACAGAAATCAATGTGTCGGCCGTGTCGCCGGCTTGAGGAAACCCTGGCCCTCGGCAGCCCGTCCGCCGGCTCGGAGTCGTCGGCCAGGACCAGCGGCATTCGGGCCACCCCGGCACCCAGCCCCAGCACCAGCCCCAGCACCAGCATCAGCACCAGCGCGCCGACAAGCGGTGGAGCGTCCACCAGCCGCGGCGCTTCCGCTGGACCACCCGGACGCAGTGGAAGGGTCCTCACGGAGGCGGTACTGCAATCGCAGGAAGAAATCATCAGGGGGATCGCGGGGATCAACGAGCGGCTGGAACGGCTTGTACATGTCTTCGAGCATCTGGTGGCGAAAATAAATTAATTTGGCTCATTGAACTGTGTATTCACTTCTTACCCATTCACTCTGTGGCAATGAGATTCTCCCGCGTGAGGACGGCGGCCCGGCAGGGATCAGCTCGCATCCCTCCGTCTGCTGCTGGTTCGTCATGTTGGGCGACGGGCTGCTCGGCCACGGGGATGTGGTGCACGCTTGTCACATAGTGAGTCACCAAACACTGCCACACAGCATCGCCAAAGTGCTGTCAACGCAAGTATCGGCTCAACACCAACTTCTACACCACCTCCTCACTTTGCGTTGATTAGCGCTGGAACCGACGCTCGTGTCGCGATGATAAACCTGGACGTTTGCGCCGATCTTGGCGATGCAGTGTTTTCTGACGCCGCCAGCGTTGATACATAAGGCCCCAGGAGAGGCGCAGAACAGACTGTTACTCATTCATGTTTGGTTTATCTTTACTGTTTTATTTCAAAATCACCAACACTTGTCTCTGTGTTCTAGATTTGCTTCCTGTCTGCTCTACCCCCATCCTGTCACACCTGATCCCTGATTGTTTCTCCCCACCTGTGCCTCATCAGCCCTCATTTCCTCTGGTATTTAACCCCATGTCTCTCACTGGCCCTGTTTACATGGGTAGTTTTCCTCAATCTGATTGAAATCAATTGGATTAAGTGAATCTGATTCCATCTGTATACATGAACTTTAAGTAAAGAGATCCACGTTCAGTCCGCGTTTTCATGGCCCCAGCTGAATCCGATTGTATTGTATTGTATCAATGGGAATTGTTAATAGGAACCATTGTACTAGTTCTGTTTTAGAGTTGCGCACGGACGTGTTTGTATGTGACACCGCCGGAATTACCAGACCGAGCAAAGTAAGGAACCCTATGTGTTTAAGTTTAATAAAAGTATAATCCAGCCGGGTTACACAGCAAGAAGTGTACGCTTCGTCAGTCGCACGAAACAACACACTTTAACACTCCACCGTCCAGTTTTTCTGTTTGTCCAATGTGGAAATATATACACACGCACACCCAAGCAGGCAGGCAGGCAGGCTAGACTCACACACATATAGAATAATAATAATAATATAATAATAATAATAATAATAAAATTAACAAAAAAATAATAATAATAAAAATAATAATAATGAGCAGACGGAGGGGAGGCGAGAGATGACCTGATATCTCTAGCTGATACCACAGTGTTGAGCAATGATGTTTTGATCAGAAGGACAAAGTTGAATTTTATGATGTATGACGAGATGTCCTTTGAGGATTGGTACAGCTACTATTATGACTTTCAGCCATAAAACAATGTTGTGTTGTAATCTATGGTGTGATGTGCGCAAATAAAGTTATCATATGAAGCAAAATTGCCAGCTTTCGCATCTTTATTGAGTAAGCAAGAATATGTAAGCAAGCATAAGCTACAGCACGAATTCACATTTTAATAATAATAATGATAATGATTATAATAATTATAATAATAGTAATAATAATAATAATAATAATAATAATAATGCATTTTTAGGCACATTTCAGCGGCAGTTCTTCCTAAATCTTTCTATAGAAGCATGCTCATACAAACACTTGAAGGAAAAAAACAAGTTCACAAACTCTTTACAACCCCCCACATGTCTTACATCGGACGCTCCAGTTCGCTTGCAGTGGGCAAGAATCTACAGTTAATCACAAAGTTTACTCCATCAACCTCACAGATATGTGACAGCAGACTTGTGAGTCCTGAGAAATGTAGACCCGATCCAAATGTGAAGCCCAATTTATTAAATGTTACTTTCAGCCTCTTCCCTTTGGCGTCTATAATCTCAAACAGGTATCCCGGACTGTCATCATCTACGCAGCAAATTAATGCTGCTGGGTTAACAGAGGGTCCTTCCTTGTTTTGTAGATACTCTATTATGCGATGGGGTTGGGAAACGTCACACCATCCACTTTTCAGCAAATCTAAAACGCTGCACATATCATCCACTACCCGTGTAAGAGAAAAGTACTGGGGATTGGAAGGTATTGTTGTGGGTCGGGGGAGCAAGTGTGTGTAGGTTTCACGGGCCAGCTTTCTCAACATGTCGATCGGACACGAAAAATCACCTTCCACCAAGTCAGCACATACGTAGCATCTTTGACGGATAAGCAAAGGAAATGACAGCAGGCCACTTTCAGTCTTCACTGTGAAAGAACAAACTCCCCCGGGCATGTCACCGAAGCGCGCCGAGACGACGATATCCCCGATGCGACGTCTCTCAGATGTATCCATGAAGGTCCTGACAGACTCTTCTGACACCGAGCCCCACCAGCGCTCACCCAGCCAACTGACAAACGATTTCCACGATTCCTGCAATTCGGTCCAGCAGCAGGTAGATGCGTAGCGGTTATTTGAGCCAAACTCCTCTTCAACTTCTTCATCGCAATCCCACAGTACGATACAGATCTCATCGTTTAAAAGTTCGGACTGATCCATAAAGCTGTTACGTGGTAAATCAGCTTCACTGGTATCTTCCGTGTCACCTGGAGTTCCGAGGCTATCACTGTAGGGATAATACTCCTCGTCTTCAACAATGTCACCTTCTACGTGTCTTTCTGATAGCAGGCCACGACGATCATACTCTTCGTCGGGAGTATTCCTCCAGGCCTCATCTTCACTGAAGTGTCCTTCGACTTCTAGCTCTGCAGTGTCACTGTCGTAATCGTCATACTCATGGCGGCTCCGAGGACTGTTAGAATCTCGGTAAAAGTCGGCATCGTGGTCACTCGTGCCCTTCAAGTCCCTTGGCGTTTGATGCTCATCAGAGTGGTTGAAAAGTTCACGCTGATCCACAAAGCTGTTACGTGGTAAATCAGCTTAAGTGGTATCCTCCATGTCACCTGGAGTTACAAGGCTATCGCCATAGGGACGATGCTCCATATTTTCAACGATATAATTTTCTACATGTCTCCTTGATAGCAAGCCATAGCAGTCATACTCTTCATCAGGATTATTCTCCCAGGCCTCATCTTCACTGAAGTGTCCTTCAACATCTAGCTCTGCAGTGTCACTGCGGTAATCGTCATACTCATAGCGGCTCCGAGGACTGTCAGTATCTCGGTAAAAATCAACATCATGGTCACTCGTGCTCGTCAAGTCCCTTGCAGTCTTATGCTCATCAGAGCGGCGGGACCCCTCCTCGCGCTCATCGCTCTCCTTTTCGCAGTAGTCGTCGTCATTCACAGACACTGTGTTATCTGGACGAATCGATGTCGGTGACGGTGAAGCAATCTCGGATCGAGATGTTGAATCAGCGTAGGCAGAATTTGAGGTCAGACAATTGGATGTATCTGATGCAACTACGGCTACTTTGCAGTAGCCATGACAAGACTGCTTCAGAGGACTTGTGACACAAATGACGGTCTCATAATGGCTGCTGCTATTTGCTAAATAAATCCCCTGTTTAGAGACCCGAACACTGTTGCAACTGTACTGAAACCAACGGTCAGTGTAATATGTGAATACGTTGACACCCAAATAATCTGCTGTTGCTTGAATCTCAACCTCTGTTGCCCAACTTCCTAGAGAGCTGATTTTAGATGCGTCAATGTAGTCTGACACCGAAAGGTAACCCCTTCTCAGAATGTTGGCATATGCAGCTTCATTGCTTTGCAAGTGATTCACTACAGCTTCTCTTATTCTTCCGTGATGGTGTTCGGTACCGCTCACAGCTACACTGACTGCCCTAAAGAAGCAATTCCCATCACTTTTAATCTTCACATTCTTACAAGGAGCTCCTAATTCACAAACATCCGTGAATTTGCTATACTGCTGTCTACAGTCTACCTTAAGCTTTCTGCACAGCTGTAATGCCACTGCCGCTCTAACGGGGTTAAAGTGTAGCTTTTTACCCATGTCGCCACAAACAACCTCAATGTCCGAGTCCTCGCTGTTCATTATGCTCTCATGTCTTTTAAGCAGTTCCTGTGACATTTTCATCTTTGGAAAGTCATAAGTATTTCCTATTCTGATGCAGTCCTGCCAGGCTGCCTCTCTGCCTCTAAAACTAGTCATCCCGGTTGTGGACAGTTCAACTGACTGCATCCCACGTCTCATGGGGTCACACTGTCCCCCCAATGTGGAAATATATACACACACACACACACACACGCACACGCACACACACACACACACCCAAGCAGGCAGGCAGGCAGGCTAGACTCACACACATATAGTAATAATAATAATAATAATAATAATAATAATGATATTTAAAAAATAATAATAATATAGTCATTTTAATTTTAGATAGATAGATAGATAGATAGATTGTGTGTGTGTGTGTGTGTGTGTGTGTGTGTGTGTGTGTGTGTGTGTGTGTGTGTGTGTGTGTGTTTTGGCGTCAATCAATCCATCTCCAAATTCTCAGCAGCACACTCAGCGCAGTATGGGAACGAACAACTTTGCAGATATATTTCTTACACCCGCTGCACACAGTGGAAGTTTTGTTGTCCTTTGCCTGCGGGCAAAACTGACACCTCTTCCTCTTCCTCGCCCGGGTTGGGTCATCTTCTCCTGACGCCGCTCCAGCGGCTTCTGATACTTCCGCGTCCTTGCCCTCACCGCGAGTTCTAGATCGAGACACGGCCCTCCTTCTACAGCTGTAGGTTCCAATCACCTTGTCGAGGTTATCGACACCTCCTTTGCAGCGGTTGTAGTCTAGTATGATGACCGGCTTTCTGTCGCAGCGGTCGCTGACTTTGGCCTCCATGTGCTTCGTGCTAACCAGCAGCACGTTTTTCTTGGGCACGTAAGAGACCGCGGCAGTGGTCGACGTGAAGGCGAATTTCGACGAGAACACCGCTCTTCCCTTTGGCTAGAGCAGCGCGAGCGGGAGCTCGGGCTTGTTTTTTCCAACGGTGCCAACCATGGTCATCTTCCTTTTCAGCAGCTGCTGCCCGAGTTCGTAAGAGGTGAAGAAATTGTCGCAGGTGACGTTGCGATCCCTCAGTCCCTTGGTGACATCGAGCACGACTCGCATGCCCAGGTTCTTTTTCCTGGGCATGCTGCGCATGGGCCCAGGTCTTCTTCTCCTCCTCCTCCTCCTCCTCCTCCTCCTCCACCACCCGCAGCTGCATCTGTGGCCGTGGCCTTCCCTGTGTACACTTGCATCTTCCAAGCGTAACTGGATTTAGAGTCGCACGCCACCCACGTCTTGATCCCGTATTTCGCTGGCTTGCTGGGAATATACTGCCGAAAGGGACAACGCCCTCTAAACGGAACCAGCTGTTCGTCCACTGTTATCTCCGGCCCGGGGTTGTAGAGGGACGGCAGCCGCTCAGACCACGTGTCCCAGACCTCTCTTACGGCCGCCAGTTTGTCGGTAAGAGAAGACCAACAAATCCAACCGAGTTGTACCAAATCTGCCAGGAAGAGTGGTCAAAAATTCAAAGGATTACTGTGAGAAGCTCGTTGATGGCAATCCAAAGCGACTTGCTGAAGTTATAAAAACTTAATGGAAATGCTACCAAGTACTAAGCCCTGAAGACAAAGGTGTATGTAAACTTATGACCCCGTAAAAAAAAAAAAAGCAGTGTTCTGCAAAGAAATATCAATAAACCTTGAATTATGAGGAATTTTTGCCTTTTCTTTTTATTTCCCCAAAAGCATTAATCCTAGGGCTTCCTGGATGCTAGATTATTCATGATTCAAGTCGGTAACTTGAATTTAGCATGAGATTTAGTGTAGGAACATGTACTGTATGTAAACTTCTGTCCACGACTGTATATATATATATATATATAAACCTTACACAGACAGATTGAAACACATAATCATACAGGAGCTAGTACAGTCAGTGATATCGAGTCCACATTTTGTGATGTCTTTGTGTCAGAGGCTAAATATGAGGAGTGGGGACACGTCATCTCAGAACCACGAATTCGTTCTTCTCTATCGCCAAACCAGCCGCTCACCTTCCTGACTGAACTGTGCAAAGTAAAACGCAACTGGTTCAGTGGAAGAGAAGAACAGACACGTTGGCTTAGAGATGACATGACAACTCCAACGCTCTTCCCCCCAACCTCTGCTGACTATACAACTGCACTTCTAGGTTGGCTTAGAGATGACATGACAACTCTGACACTCTCCAACCTCTGCCGATTATACAATTCAAACTTTGGTATTTTACAACTGACAGGGGTTGGAACCACAGGGGAGTGGAACCACTGGTTCCACTCCCTATGGTGGGGTGCCGACTCGTGCCTCTGGAGCCCAGGGGCCTTATGTATCAACGCTTGCGGCGCAAGAAAACCTTGCGTACGCCAAAATCGGCGCACACGTCCAGATTTATCATCGTGAAACGAGCGTCGGTTCCAGCGCTAATCAACGCAAAGTCAGGAGGTGGAGTAGAAGTTGGCGTTGAGCCGATACTTGCGTTGACTGTGATTCGCACTTTGGCGACGCTGTGTGGCGGTGTTTGGTGACTCACTATGTGACAAGCGTGCACCACATCCCCGTGGCCGAGCAGCACGTCACCCCACATCACGAACCAGCAGCAGACGGAGGGATGCGAGCTGATCCCTGCCGGGCCGCCGTCCTCGCGCAGGAGAATCTCATCGCTACAGTGTGAATGGGTAAGAAGTGAATACACAGTTCAATGAGCCAAATTAATTTATTTTCGCCACCAGATGCTCGAGGACATTTACGAGCCGGTCCAGCCGCTCGTTGATCCCCACGATCCCCCTGATGATTTCTTCCTGCGGTTGCAGGACCCCCTCCGCGAGGACCCTTCCACTGCGTCCGGGTGGTCCAGCGGAAGCGCCGCGGCTGGTGGACGCTCCACCGCTTGTCGGCGTGCTGGTGCTGGGGCCGGGGTGGCCCGGATGCCGCTGGTCCTGGCCGACGACTCCGAGCCGGCGGACGGGCTGCCGCGGGCCGGGGTTCTGCAAGCCGGAGACACGGCCGACACATTGATTTCTGTGACACAATAAAAATATTGGTTCATTTCAATTCCTGCTTCTGTGTATCTGTTGCGTTTACATCTCTCTCCACGGTATCATAGGTAATGTAATCCAGTATTTAGAGGTCAGTTATGCACATTACAGTTGTTTATTGCATAAAAAGTTATCGAAAAATGAAGTTAAGGGCGAAGTATAAATCACGTCTAAAAATAGACTGAATCCCGACGTTGAAATGAAGTATAAACTTAAACTAGACGTCTAATATACGTCTTTTGCTCAGTGGGATGACAAAGCATGTGGACATTTGTGTGACACGCCACTTACCCTATAATAATAATCGCCACCACCCGCTGCTCAAACGGTGTGAGGGTCTCCTCCCCCGGACCCCCACCTGTCTGGCCAGTACTCCTCCGGAGGGCAGCTGTACGCCGCTTGACCTCCACCTTGAGGTCCGACCACTTTTTTTTAATCTTCGCGGGGGTGCGTGTCTCGGAACCCACCGCGTTCACCCTCTCGCAAACTTTTTCCCACTCCAAGCGTTTTTGTTTTGCACTGACGCCACTGGACAGGCTGCCAAACAAAACACGCAGTCGCTCCTCCACCTCCGCCACCAGCACCTCCACCTCGCACGCCGTAAATTTAGTTTTTCTTGTCATTTTGTCTGCGTGCGAGGACAGGGAGACCCTATTTAAATAAATCTGCATATTTATAGGAGGGCGTAACGGGGACGGGCCCAGTCACTCCGACATCTGCGCTCAATTCCACGCTGATTGGGATTTATCAAGGAAACACACGTGGATTTCGGCGCCCGCACACATTGATACATACGGATTTTTTTCAGCGTGACAGACCTTGCGTGCGCTCGTCTCTGGTATGAGTTCCACGCAAGTATTGATACATGAAGCCCCAGGTGTTGTCCTCTTCACTCAGCCTCACCAAGCCTTGGACACTGCAGTAAGAAAAGGAAAAAAAAAAAACTGTATGATGAAGCAAGGTGTAGTTTTTTAAAAATAAATAAATAAATGTTTATATATATATATATTCTTTTCATTTGTAAAACACTTTTTATGTACAAACACTTTCTTTCTGTTGGCGTTGAGACATCTTTACAGTATTTTCTGCTCTTAGAAATAAAAATAAATAAATAAAAAATCTGGGAAACCTTCGTCTCTTTCTCTTTCTTTCTTTCTTTCTTTCTTTCTCTCTCTGTCCGTCCCTCACAGGATGGCCAGTCATGCAGAGGGCACTGTAAACAAAAAACAAACAAAAAAAAGAAAACAATACACAGGCAGTGTAGAAACACACACACACACACACACACAGGTCATATGTATTTATATATATATATATATATATATATATATATATATATATATATATATATATTTTTTAACATTATTATTTTTAATTATTGATTTTAAATTCCTTACCTCTAAAGCCCAGGCGTCGTCCTCTTCGCTCACGATCAGGAGAGCGCTTTTTCCTCTCCGTTGATTCACAGACGAATCCTTGACCCTGCGTTTCCATCTGCGCGCTACTCGCTCAGGCACAATCGCGCGCCTTTTTTCCCTCGTCGAGATCGTCTTCGGCTGTAGCCGCAGAGGCTAGCCAGATCAGGAGAGTGCTTTTTCTACTCTCCGTTGATTCACAGACGAATTTCCTCCTTCTTCGCTCTTCGCTGCGAAAAGAGTCTGTGCAACAGAGGAATACAGCGGAGGTGTTTAGTCAAACGTTTTCCTGACAGGGTAAAGAAGGAAAACAAAAAAAAAAAGAAAAAGCATATAACTATATATCTATCTATATATCGTTATAGATAGATGGATAGATAGATAGATAGATAGACTACTTTCTCTACTCTCTCCTCTACGATCCTTTTTGTAGATGCGTGTCAAGACTTCAACTTTATTTGTTTTGTTTTTTTTTCCTCTTTCTCCACTCCTGCAGATCCAGTGCCCCCGTACTGGGAAAAGAGTCTGTGCAACAGAGGAACACAGCAAAGGATTTCAGTCAACTATTACACGACAGTGTAGCAGAGGTGAGTTTTTAGATAACCATTTTGACAAGCAGAAAGAGCTGAGGGTTAGTTGACCTTTTTTTTTTTTTGGTCTCGTGAGCGCAGGCGCTGTCATGTATTTGTTATGCTCTTACGAATAGATAACCAAAAACAGCTCAGTCCAATTGGAGCGAATCGTTCAGTCAGGAAGGTGAGCTAACGAATGATTGAATGCAACTCAGCGTAAGAGCAGAGCAAACTTACAATTCACGAAACAGAGAAAGACCAAAACGACTGCACAATTCAGTGGTCGCGGAGAGAGACATCAATTTCGTTCGGCCTGCAAAACAGAGAGAGAGAGAAATGTGGCTTAGGGGATATGGAGCTATCACAGTGATCCCCACCTTGGTTTAAAAGCCCCAAAGGTAAGAAGGAAAACAAAAAAAAGAAAAAGCGTATAACTATATATCTATCTATATATCGTTATAGATAGATAGATAGATAGATAAATAGACTACTTACTCTACTCTCTCCGCTACGATCCTTTTTGTAGATGCGTGTCAAGACTTCAACTTTATTTATTTATTTATTTTTCCTCTTTCTCTGCTCCTGCAGATCCAGTGCCCCCGTACTGCGAAAAGAGTCAGTGCAACAGAGGAACACAGCAAAGGTTTTCAGTCAAACGTTTTCACGACGGCGTAGCAGAGGTGAGTTTTTAGATAACCATTTTGACAAGCAGAAAGAGCTGAGGGTGAGTTGACCTTTTTTTTTTTTTGGTCTCCTGAGCGCGGGCGCTGTCCTCGCCGCTCAACAGTGGCTGTGTTTTTAGAAACTCAGACGGCGGTAGACGCAGTCTTTAGCAATCCCGGAGTCCTTGACCCTCCGCCGCGCTTTTTGTGCATCACGAATGGAGGGCGTGTGTGTGCGTGTGGATTCAAAGACTCGTTTCTGTGTCATGTATTTGTTATGCTCTTACGAATAGACAACCAAAAACAGCTAAGTCCAATCGAAGCGAATCGTTCAGTCAGGAAGTTGTTCAGAGTTGTTCTTTCCTCCTAGGCAATAACCGAATGAAGCGGCCCTGTGGAATTCAGCGCAACTGTGAAGGGAAACAGGTTC